TCTACATCATCCACAGGCTCGAGATTTAAACTTTTATTTGCACGTACCTCTGCTTGTCATAATTCTGTTCTGCCGTATCTAGCACGTCTACTTACTGACAAAGAGAAAAGTTCCACAGAATTTCGCAAATGCTTGCTTCATTGACAAACACAATCTGCTGCTTTCAGTTTCATTATGTAATGATTTTATAACTCTGAATCCACAAATATGGTGTAAATGCTGAAAATTCACCCATCCGGGATGCATAAAGCTACTACTGATTTGACTTGACTTATGTATTGTCCACTCTATTTGGTCTTCTAGCTGAAGAGTTGTTGTAGGTTTCCATCTGATCACCTCCCTATTTTCCTTTCTAAAAGTAATCAAACAGCTATCCTTCTCCTCAAGGATCAGTAAAAAACATCCCGTAAAATTTAATTTTCCAAACGTATTTAAGCGGTTTGTAGAAACACGTCAGCTAACTTTGGGTTTTGGAGAGTACCCATTGCTCACCGTCAATTTGCTTGTGCTCGGTTCCTTCGGATTCAAAACGTATGTTCTCGGTGCAAACAAAAATGAGGTCTTCTCAAAATGACCGATAGCAATCGGGAGGTGAAGAACCCACATAAATTCTAATCTAACCTCGACAGAATATGCCGGTTGCTTTCGGGTAAAATTGGCAGACGTTTTGCACTCCTACACATCAGTGCCCATTAGATAACAAACTAACCCCAAAGCAAAAAACTTATAAAACCATAAAAGAATTGGAGATATTCGATTTAGAATTTCTCAAATCCGGTTGTCCCAATACATACCCGAATGGTTTCCGTAATCAGTGATGCAGCACGAGTTCAAAAGGTCAGTGTGATAGGTGAAACAATCATAAAACATGTTACGACAGCTGGACAGATTGCTGACATTTTTGTCGTTCAAGCCGTTGTTACGTTACACGAATCACAGGCTCTTAGCTTACAACGAAGTGATCATAATCCCGTTACATAATCCAATTTTGTGTGGACAAATGTGTCTGACGCACCCAGTCCAACTACAGTAGGGTTGATTCAAGAACTGAAGACAGTATTGACCCGGTCGTAATGTCACAAAATTATCACCTCGGGGATGTGTGTTCAAATCCCACCACCACCGCCTGACTTTCCCCATTCTCTCTCTGTGTGTTGTATGGCAGCCCTTTGATTGACCGCTTCCCCCTTCCTAAAAATTGTATCTTTGCGTTTTCGAAAAAAGGAAGTAAAATGAAAAGAAAAGAAAGAAAAGATCACTCCGCCTCTACATCCGGTTCCAGACTATGTGCCAAACAAATCACGGTTCAACAATCTTTATGAAAAAGAGACGTACCATGAGTTGCATGTGGACGGAAAACTGCCAGATCGCTCAGACGAATTTTCTTGAGGAATCCACAACCGTAGCCTTCGGCTAGCCAAAACCTGACCTGAAAGGCAGCGGTGCGGTGCGTGAAAACCGCAATCCACTGAGGGCGGTGTCCAGTTCATCGGATCATTCGCCCTTTGAACGGGGTCAAACGTCCAACATGCCCAATACACTCGATGACTAATCGCTCCGGGGATCACTGCCACAACAAGGAAGGTGTTTGGTTGATACGCCTACTCCTGGTTGGTTTGGAATCAAGGTTTGGGCCAACTCCCCTAGGTGAACTACCAGTGGTCGATCAACTCCATTATAGCCCCGGATATCGGCCTTTCGTCCTCTAACTTTGATGGGAAAACACCTTCGCCTCAGACAGGTGTCGGTTAAACCACTGTAGTTATTACAGATATTCTGTATGAATACCTGATTGTTTTACACAGTAACTACGTAGGAGATTAAAATAACTGTTAGCATCTTGCAGTGTTTATCGTTCCACTGTTTTAATGATTTGGATAAAGGTAAGCGGTTTGCTTTGTATCAAACGTTCTTATTATTATTAGGCATTAGTCAACCGTATCACATGATTTCATTTTTAGAAGCGGAATATATTTGTGAAATTCGCTTAGTATTTCATTCTAGCCCCAGCACAACTTGTAATACTGGCTTTATTTTTAATTAAAACTAATGCTTTTATTTTATTTTTTGTTTTTATTATTATTTTATATTGTAGATTTTTCCTGTGATGCTTGTGAAGGGAATCTTTTGTGTTTTCCCTTTTTCCCTTCAACCAGGGCACTAAAAAGATGCGCGAAATCTAGAATGCGACAGTTACTTAGACCAGATCGGTTGTCATATCCGTTATAGAAGAAAATAAATTGCACTTACCTCGTCTGTTAACACGTAGTCGACTCTCATCCACTTTCAGCATGCCTTTTTTCCCATCTGCTGCATTATTGTACACGTACAAGTCTGGGGTCCATATTCGATCGGGTGGAAGCACAAAACTAAGCCCGCCTACATCGGAAATATCCTCACCGGAATCGGATCTCACGCGTGTTGTAAATTTTTCCGTTTCTGCAATTAAATCCCTCAAACTGCGCAATCGATGATCCAAAACTTCATCGTGCCACTTAAGTTGGATCAACAGAGAAGTGAGCAAGATCTGATTTTTCTCGTCCAAATCAACCACTTGTTGAAGCACAACATCGATTGTGGCTTGGATGATGTGTGTGGCGTTACGGATGGGACGTCCAATCGGATCGTAACCTGCGAGTAAATACTGAACTCTTTCTCCCGCCGTCCAGTGTTTTGCACCGTTCACTAGCGCAATGAAAATGATCACTGGCAACACAGTATGAAATATCATGCGCATTGAATTTGCCCAAAGAAATAATGCGAAACACAGTTGTGTAAATATATTGAATCAGCCGATATTGGTGTTTGAAACTTCTCCAAGTTAGGTTTAGTTTTGTTCGAACTATGGCGGTTTTAAACCATTCTACTTCTTATTGGTCCGTTCGTCCGAAATTGGTCAAGGTTGCACCCGTTGATTGGCTGAACTGAAGTTGCGCCTGTCATGCAAACCGTGTTGCCGACACATCCCTGCTCGGGTCACGTGAGACAGACGGTAGGATGAAAGAAAGTAATATGGCTAGGAGAGAAGTCAGTTGGCAAACCCAGGGCAGATGGATCACGCTTCTCGATAGACGGGCAGTATTTTTTCTCTATTTACTGATTAAAATTTATTTCCGTGTGATAATCAGTAAACTCACTAATTTTCGTCAAAACCTGTCATTATTTCCAAATTGTGGTCCACTGTTGATTTTTATTTGAAGGATAAGTTTACAACAGTCACAAGAATGACCAACACTTTTAGAAAGCACAAAAATATATTTTGTTTCAACGCGAAAAGAACAGGAGAGAATGAAATGGGACGCATTGTTCTTCATCCGTTAAATTTTGTACACTTCTCTTACGTTTACAACAATATTACATATATACTCATCGTGAGGTCAGATTTCCTAAAGTTTATTAAATTCGTTTCGTAATGTCACTGGTTTCGATAGGCTTTTAATAAAATAATCCATCCCATCATGCGAAGTTACTTCTAAAAGATTCCATTAGACCAATGTAAATGACTTGTAATTTATGAAACTAGGAAATAAGATATGTAGGTCTGAAACACGACAATGGATAGCTCATCTTGTGTGTTCACCTCCCAAATGGATTTGTTTTCAGATTTGGAATGTCATGTGGTGTGATGGATGTGTTATTCTCTACTCTACGTTATCAAGTTAGAACAATAAAGCCCGGTGATAACTTTGAATATAAACAGTCTGACTTTAACTATTATTTTTTAAAGCTGAGTTCATCTTTATTCTGATGATAAATTTGTATAACTCTGACTTCTTAACAGTCAGTCCGAAAGCATGATTAACTAGGCAGTTCATGATTTAGTTTGTGTATGGTTTCTGACTTCGAACAAGAAGAGGTTGGGACAAAAATTCAATCCTTACGAATGCCTTGACGGAAAAATATACATTGAAAAATACTACGAGGGTTTCGAATATTGTGTTCCGGTTAACTCAGTCGAGTTGGGCAGGCACTAGATACTAGTAATGACTTATTGCGTTTCAATTCTTCAGATTTGGTTCAGTACCTACTTGTTAGGAGTATAATTTTACAATTTTACAATTTTACAATTTTACAATTTTACAATTTTACAATTTTACAATTTTATAATGACTGACGAAATGCACTGGAAAATTGTTACGATCTTGTCGGGACATTAGCAGTGCGTGCATTCGCTCAAGGTTGTAATCACCACAAACGAGTCCCAACCATAGAGGTCTGTAGCGCGGAAACTGAGAAGGCTAAACCGCAATATTTTTCACAGAAGTCAACCAAATAGCAAGCTCATCTGGCCTACAGATCCATTGGCTTGAATGCGTATCTTCGCGTGGTATAGAAACGTTACAAACAGTAATTCAGTCAGTATGAAGAAAGGTGAAAACAGTGAAACGGATGAATGAACGTCTTATTGCAGATCAAGTCTATAGATGCGTGAATCCCATCACACAACAGACTGAATGGCGAAACCTATTATTTATTGATCTAAAGCTACTAAACTCAGACGATCTAAATGAACTGCTGCAACTCGGGCACAACGCATTGAAGCACAAGCTTCTGTTTAGGCTCCNNNTAGGCTCCGAGTCTTCAGTGATCGATCTGTAATGGATCACATATAGCAAACCACGACGAACAGTTCTCGACGGAACGCAAACAACGGACTCATAAAGGAAACCTTTGAACAATTTCAGTTTACCTTTAGTTCCGGAATTTTTATATGGGTTCATCCCGATTCAGTTGTGCAGCCACACCACACAGACTACTTGCATCCGTAGAATGTGGATATAGTATGGAAATGTGAAGCTCATTGATTGGTTCAATCACAGTTCTCATCGGAACATCAGTAACAATGTTAGTTGACGAGAAAAAATCTTAGCCATTGAGAGAATCACAAGTCCAATCATGAAGTCCAACTTCCCTCATAAATGGAAGAATTTTGAATTTAAATCTATACGTCTTATTGTTTTAAGTATGCCGGAGTGATATTTTCAGTAATATAGTTAAATGCACTTAACCGCGAAGGGCTTTTGGAATCGCTCACTCGATGGGTGCAGTGAAAACATTTCGTACCACTCAAGTTGATCCTTTGCATTGCAACTTACAAAGTCAAAGTTAAAATCTGTCTATGACATCAAAGTAGTGGTAGGACAATATGATAGAAACCTGTTGCACTTATTTAGTTTGATACTGTTCGGAGATATATTACCGTATTCCTGCGTTATATACTCCATTACTGCACTGTTGTATCCCGTATGAATCAGTAAGTAGGCAGAGAGTGAATTAAATAGTAATTATATTTCCAGTATGTAAACGCAAACATGGAGACGGTCCGTAAGCCGGAGAGCAAGCATCGCGTCAACACGCAGACAGGCAGGCACAGAACTCGACTGCAGGCCACAACACGCGGTTTTACAGTTTACCGAAATCGACTTCCGCAAGCGAGCAAATGACCGAAAAACTACGTGTTCATAGCTTGACGGGCAGCTTCCAATTGATAGAACCTATAAACCCGATCAATGTGAATCACAAACACATGGCTAGCATAAACGTGACGTCGTTGTTTGCCAACGTGCTTCTGAAAGAAATTGTGACATTTATTTGTGACTTCGCACAACAGAACAACATAAAACTTCTAATCCCCTCATCAGAATTGACAAGGTTGAATCTGCTGTGCACAGAGAACGTTTGATTCAATTTTCAGTGCAGATACTTCGGTCAAATCGAGGGTGTAGCCGTGGGAAGTTCTTTGGGCCCCATCCTGGCAGATATACTGATGGCAAGCCTGAAGCGAAAGGTTAGAGATAACCTCACCAGAAATGTTCTGTACAAGCGATACTTGGACGATGTGTTGCTCACAACAGACTCAAAGGTGGAGGCGTTGAACTTATTCCAAAGCTTGAATAACGCCCATCCAAATATGAAGTTGACAATGGAACATGAAGTAAATGATACCTTGTTCCTCCTGAATGTAAAAATGCAACGGATAGAAGCCTTGGTCGATCTGTTCATCGAGAACACACGTGGATAGGTCAATATCCACATTTCACCAGCTTCGTCCCCATCCGTTACAAACGCGGACTGGTC